ATCCATTGTCCGCTTATCTGGGGTTGGGTCATGGGGGCAGCAGCCTAAGCGAAGAGGCCCAGACTTCCCTCTCCCCAGCCTCTTGGGCCATCTCCTTTAGGGGGAATCCCAAAGCGTTCCCTGGCCAGCTGATAGATAGTCCCTCCAGCGTGTCCTGGGTCTTCCTTTAGGTTTTCTCTCAGTTGGATGTGCCCAGAAAACCTCACCAGTGAGGTGTCCAGGAGGCTACCTAATCAGATGTCCGAGCCACCTCAACTGGCTCCTTTCGACGTGGAGGAGCAGCGGGTCTACTCCGAGCCCCTCCCGGATGACCGAGCTTCTCACCCTATCTCTAACGGAGAGCCCAGCCACCTTGATGAGAAAACTCATTTCAGCCGCTTGTATCCTTGATCTTGTTCTTTTGGTCACTACCCAAAGCTCATGACCATAGGTGAGGTTAGGAACGAAGATCGACCGGTAAATCGAGAGCTTTGCCTTCTGGTGCAGCTCTCTCTTCACCACGACAGACCGGTACAATGCCCGCATCTATGTTTTAATTGACAATTTTAATTTTTAATACATGTTTTTCAGTCTCCAGATCTGAAAGAAGAAACCAGCATGGAAGTAAAGTAAACCTGCATTATCTATAACAACAACAACAACAAAGGGAAAAAATAACTACATGAAAGAAGTTTGCAGTGGTGTGAAAAGCATATTTGTCAGCAGAGCATCTGAGCTTTCACTTTCTGATAAAAGCATTTAATGCTCAGCTTCTCAGCATGGAAGCATGTTTAGCCTGAAACAGGCACTTTAAAAGGAAGTACTGGACTAACTCTGAAGTATAAGTGAGCATATGTGGGCCAGAGTAAAAAAAAAGCCCAAATATTCAACACGTGGCTTCAGATAGTGAGAACCCAATGCCACACTAGAAGCAGAACAAACCCAGTGGAGTCATGTCTCCTCTGCTCATCGGTGGCCTGTGTTAATATGATTAGACTGGATTATGGTAATGTGCAAAGGGATCTGGTGGATGTGGGGCGATGCCTTGCTGCTCTCGTTTCAGGGAATACCTAATTGGTTGGGCTGCTTTGATGTTGTGGTGATGTGAGACGGGGGGCTGGTGGGAAAAGCCTGGCAAAGGTGCCCCTATACCTCCAGCCTGTTTAATTTTTGGCCTTTGAGGATCTGTGCTGGCAAGAGGTAAAACGGAATGAAACCTGATGAAACTGAGAAGAAACTGTGCAGATCTGGAGCTCAAATGTGAATATTCGGGTGAAGAGAATCAGCCTCAGTCTTCTTCTATGCCTCTGAATGAGGAGTTAGGTCAGCTATGGAATAAGTCTGTCTGTGATCTGTCTAAGGTCCCGTTCACTTGCTTTTTTTGCCTTCTGTTCAGCAGACCCATGAGCCGACTGGAAGGCAAGGAGATATAGGCTCTTTACTGAATGTACACTTTTGTAGTTTGGTGTAAACACTTTGACGACCTTTCAATCCTAAAAAAATGGGAATGGTGGAAAACAGAAAAACTACTAGTTGTAAGAACATCAAGGCATTTTGCTCCATGGTTTTCTCACTCTGGGCTCATAGGTACACTCCTGCTGTGGCGCTAGGCTGCACTCATAAGCACACATTTAGATAATTATTAATAATGATAGCCTCCATGAGTAGGCCAGGTGGGCATGCGGATGAGTAAACTACCTGACTCAAACAAGGGCAGCATCGCTGTTTAAATCACGTTTGTCACCGTGTGATTTATGATCCCGGACGAGATCCCAAATATGCTACAACTCATCTTGTAATGTAAGATAGAAACTGATCACAGGTTTTAGGAAAAAAAAACTAGGATTTTACTGGACTAAATTAAAATGTAATTTCTGGGTCATGTGATGTAAAAATGAGCACTTTAACAGCAGGGCAGTTATAACTCCCTGTGAGGCTTGTGAGAAACACATTTCACCACTTCTTCTCAGGCACGGACAATTAGACTAATTGAAAATGGTGAGGCCTATGGACCACCTGGATGGAGTGCAGAGAAAACAGTTTGTTTTTAAGTTTTTATGTATACAAGGAATGCTTCATGATTTCAATGGATAAAACAACTTTGGGGGATGAGAAAATCAAAATGGCTATCAATTATTAATAGTTTGTGTTGCGAGATGCAAACAAGGTTTATGAATAAAACATCTGGTGAACACATGCAAACACCATAACTAAAATATTTGCTATTTGGTGTATTGCTGTCCACTGGGATGTTATTTATTATTAGTAGTAATATTATTATGCAAGGAAGATGCAAGGAATATTCAAAATGTCATTTTACCTCAACATCTCACAATCCCAGCTCAAAAACTATTTTCTAACAATCGTTGAGGAACATGAAAATGATCAAAGGTTAAATGCAGAAGCATTGGACTGATAGTTTTGGCTGTTTTTCTGCTGTCTGCTAAAGAAAAAGGTTTAAACAAACCACAGAAAGCTGATAGTGAAGGCCAACAGCCACTCCTCAGGCTCGGTACAATAAAACCTAAGATCCTGAACAACAAATCATTTGAGGAGCTGTAAGACGATAAAATCAGAGCTGGGTATGTAAATGATGAGAGTAATACTAACACACTTCCAGGCCTCGAGCTTGTGAGAGGAAGTGGGAATCCTGCTGCTCGGAATCTGATTGGTTCCCCCCTTTTTTTTCCCTGTTTTTGTGCTTTCATCTCTCCTCTCTGACCTGGAACTTGATCACAGTCAAAACTATTTAACTTCGTCTCAGTCTGTGAGCTGACTGAAGACACGAGGCCGGTCGGCAGAGCTACGGGAGAGGGTGGATGGAATTTATGTCATCTATGGTCCAGAAAGCTGCATGCAAGTGGAAGCATCGGAATCATTTATTCACTTGTGTTGTTTCAACTTCAACACAAACACACTGATCACCTCTGCCAGGCCTGTTCTCTGCAGGTTGTAAACCTCACTTCCTTAAGTTCAAATTCAAGGAAAATAAACAACATTTGACCAAAAGGTTTGAGCTCCATCATTCATCAAAACAAGATGCTTTTAGTTTAAAACTCTGTAATGAAAGACAGCAGGTCTCCATCCCATAAAGCAGAAGTTTTTGTGCCTGAGATGATTAATAATACAGATTATTTATTTTTGTGATGAGAAAACATCCTTCTGGTGCTTTTAGGATGTGAACGGCTGACTGAACTCATTTGTTACAAGCTGCTGGCTCATTTTCCTTCATTTACTTTTACAAATGCAGTTTATTATAATAAATTTTGACTTCAGTATTTTATTTACTTTGTTGTACTTTGAAGCCCAAATTTGTGTCTGCCACACATTTTGGCAGGTGTGTGTAGCGACGTCTGCTTAAATATTTAGAACTTTATCCACATAAAGTCTTTTTAAAACCTCCACAATCAAATTCAAACATTTTAAGAATTTCAAGCACCTGATTAGTTATGTATCCCTGAACGGCAGAGGCTTATTTATGTTTGTAAGGTCAGCAGGAAATTAATCGATGTGTTTATTAAGATAATGCATACAGCCCTGATACTAATTTAGTGTAATAAAAACCAACTAGAGGCAGATCTTTGAAAATAACATATAGAACGTTGATTTTTACCATTGTTTCCTCACATATTGGTTTATTTGCTCCATCTGAAGGAAGTATAACAAGGGCTTGACTTGAATGAGCTTTTATAGAATGATGCTTTAAACCTGAGAGAACATTTTAAAGCTGAGCCACCTAAAAGAGGCCCGCTGTTGACTGGTTAAAATAGCTGTGATGTCGTCGTACACGTGTAGCCAGGTTCTTGTAGAAGCAAATTTCCTATGCCACCCATTTAGGAAAAAAATACTTCAGTCCAACCACCTGGTTTTGTCAGCAGAACATCATGAAGCACATTTATAGGCACACAAAGCCTGTAGGTGGCAGTAGTTCCCCAGATTGTTGGCATTTCGCCAAACATACTCCTCAAACGTGGAGCTACATTATGATCAACAATTGTCTTTGACTGCTTCTTTCACCTGTGGTCTTAGCTTTAACTGAGATTGTAAAACAAGTCAGTGAGAATACAAGTCACACATGTGATGCCAAAGCACGTGTCATGGGAGGTAACGTAGCAGAACCTAAAATCCTGATGATTTACATCAACAATGGAGCGTTCACATATCTCCACCTTGGTTACAGGTCGTTTTCATATGGATGAGGCGCCAAACCACACAAAATATCCTGGTTTTGTGGGAAACCCAGCTCTGTGTGTACAGAGTACACCCTTTTTGTTACTCAGTTAACAAATATCAGCCAATCTACTTCTAAATACAGCAGAAATGTAGAACGCATGAAAACTAAGTTACATTTGAGTTTGGACTAAATAATAGAGACTACTGGGGTAAAAATCTATGATCGGCTGTATGAATCTGCACCTCCTGTGGCTAAAGTCACGTCTTTTCTGATGGTTCCTAACTGAAGTCGGGCACTGACTGACCTCATTTTGAGAACAAGACCCTGTACCTCATGGCTATCTAACACATTACTGTTTATGTTGAGGCCTAACTTTTCCAGGCGACGCTACGCTGATTGCTACGAGTCAAAATCGTTTTCCAGAAATTGGACCTTTCTGTTTGCCGAACCTGAACATGCTGCATTTGAAGGGCTGGAGCTCAGCTACTCCATCAAAAGAAACAGGAGCCGCTCGCTGCATGGCAGCACAAAACAGAGGGCTCGGGCCAAGTGGAAGGGCCAAGGGGGGAATTGAAGCCTTTCAAAACGGATTAATCTGATATCCTCCTCAAGACTATAAAGAATAAGAGCTACTTAAAAAGACGAGCAGCCGGCCGATTCTTCCTTTTCTTCACATTGAGTCGACATGTTCTCACTCTCTTAAGAAAAAGGCTTTCCAAAAAAACTTTACACTAAGGTAACAGCAATGAAACAGTTTACAGCTTGTTACGTCTCTGATTCTCAGTGAAATTAGAGCCAGGTGTTCAACAAGACACATGAAAGATGTTAAGAACCAGATTTTCATATGTAAAAATCTTGCAATTTTATTTGCATATAAAGGCAGCTAAATATATCACAATAAACTGAAAAAGAGAACTAACGTTTCCGTGAAGAAGGGATACAATCAGAGGAGGAGGAACAGGGCACGAAAAGAGCATTTACAGCTGTCGAAGACAAGTTCAGACGACTATTGGCAACGTTTTTTTGTGCTAGCAAGATTGCATTTACACACAGTGCAAAATTAGAAAAAAGCAACAAAAAACAAATACTATCACTTTAAAGGACATCTTCTCCATGTTTAGGCAGGTGTGTTGTAGGAACAATCAACACCTGTGGGATTGTGAGCGACAGATTTTCCTCTCATTCAAAATGAACTTCTACAGGGAGAGCCATTACAGAAAACATTAAAGAAACATCTGATGAGAGCATAAAGATACAGAAAATGCACCTGTCTTTTTTCTCTTGTCAAACAACTTTTACTACAGATGTGTTATAAGATGAATATATAATATATATATATTTATACATACATTTCCAAATTAGAAGAGAAATCCATAATGAGATGACCGAAAGCGAAACTTTTGGCTGTGACTGATAACGATCCGTCCCTGCGTCAGTGCGGTGTTGTTCTGCGGGGATGGTGGGTAATAAATAAGGACTTTTCTCTGAGCTTGCAGAGAGGAGCTCTAGCTGAGAACATTAAAGCTAGTTTAAGGCAGCGTCCCTGTCAGCCAAAATAAAAAAAGAAGTCACAATAAATCAAAAGGAACATTTTTAAAAACGACACAACGTTAAACAATGGTGTCCATTGTCTGGCCAACGCAAACAAAATGTCAAGGAATTGTACAAATTAACAAAGCATCATTTATTTTACAGTTCTGACCAATATTTATCAAGAGCAAGATTGTTTAACCACAAAATCCCAGAGAAAAGGAGAATACCGGCGTCAGCCAGGCTCAGCCGGCCTGAGTTCACGGCTTCGTGGAACACGTACACGTGAACGTGACACAAAGGATTAGTGGCGGTTTGTTTCTCTGTGATCAGGTAATCGGTTCTTCTGTGCGAGTTCATGTGTCACTTTCGTTTGGCGCTCTGCTCTAAGGCATCGTGTTTTTAGCTAGTTCGCTGCCTTCCTGAGGATGACAGGAAACAGAGAGTGAGATGAAGACTAAACTCTGCTCAGTAAAATACAAATAAAAGCACGTTTGTTGGTGGATTATCTCATTTTGTTTTCCACCTGAGAGTGAATCTGAGCAGGAAATCAGAACTTGGCACGGTTTAGAAATAAAACACCGGTATTCTCCTTTAATGCTCCTAGTGAACCCCCACCCCACCCCACCCAACAATGTCCTCTCCATCTCAACAACAGCTTGGAGAAGAGCAAAAAAGTTTGTTTTTTTTTTAAATTTTTTTTTGCAAAGAAACACTTAGAATTTTTCTGTAAGTTGAAATATTTATAGAAAAGTCGTTGTCCATCCAGCCCTTGACAGTCCTCTGGTCTCAGGAGCTGGGGGGGTTGGGCAGGTCAAAAACGATGGGGGGGTTGGTGGGCTGGAAGCTGACAGTGCAGGTTGACGCGTTGATGAAGGTTGTGTAGCCGTCCGTCATGATCCCGTACCCTGGGACAGGAGACAGAGTCAGACTGGAAGTTTAATAAACGATCACGGGTCTGTGAGCGCCGGGTTCAGCACAGAAACCATCAGCAGGAGTCTCCATTTACAGCTGATTACAGTATCAAACCTTTAGGAAGTCACTGATGTGTGGGAGGTTTGGCCTATGCGGCGACGTAGTGGGTGATCAGAGCTCACCTCTGTGGCAGATGTGATACGTATCACCGTACGCTGCCATTGTTTGAACTCATGAGAAATGCACCAACAGCTACAGCTGACTTAAGGAGTCAGTCTACACGCTGAGAGTTAAAGCAAAACAAAACAAAAGATTGAGTCTAAGAAAACAAGAATCTGTTTTACTTCCTCATATTTACAAATGATAAATGACCCGCACTTGTATAGGGCCTTTACACTACAGCGCACCATTCATCCATTCACACGCTGGTGGGGATGAGCTAAGATGATTTGGGTGGTGACTTTGTTGCACGTTCCTGCGGGTCAGAAACTGTGGCGAGAAGCGAGGTTCACAGAAGGGTCACAGAGATAAGGGATCAGAACTTGCTTCTGGGAGTAAAATTGGGCAGAAGGTCAAGAAGAGTCCGACCCGAAACAATAGGAGAGGTAAGCATATTGTAATTACAGGTTCCTGAATTTTCAGGACTTGCTTTACAGTTTGTGACAGATTAAGAAAAGAAACCTTAAGTGAAGAAGCTAGTCTTCTCCTCTCCCGTGAGTAACGAGATATCTTAAGGATTGATAAGCCAAAACATTAGTAGGTTAAAATAGGCTCTGTTTGCAAGTGTGAAAAAGTCTTTGCCAGCGCGGGAAGGTTGGATTAATTAGATTAATTGATAAATCTATGTTAGCCTGATCAACTAACAAGAATCATTTTATAGTAGCCACCGCCCACAAAAGCTGACAGAGGCGCAAATTAATCCTAATATAATCCAAATAATTGTCAGAAGAATGGCCTGCTTCTGAACTTTGCCCTAGTATTTAGAACCACTAAATAACGGGAGAAACTAAAAAGAAAGTAAGCTATCAAAAAAGAAAAAAGTACGGCATATCATTCTCACCTTAAAATAGGAAACTGATTCTAATTAGGAAGTCCAAACCAGGGTCTAATACAATAAAACTCAACGACGCCCCACGAACCCTGAGAAAGCAGTGCAGTCTTATAGCAGGGTATATACAGCAATCCTTAAGTAAAATTTACTACTTTTTAATACTTTTTTTTACTACCTTCAGAATTTTTTTAAAACCATCACAACACTAAATTAAAAAGGGTTAATCAGCGACCTATTTACACATATTTTAACATATATAACATACAAAAAGAATAGACTTAGAGACTCACTGATGTTGACAACGTATTGCACATATTTATTTTACTTAGAAAATAAGCCAGGCACTTCTGTTCAGCGGTTCAGACAGTTGACCACGAGGCCTGAAATGATGCACAACGACCACTGAATATGACGTCATCATTATGTGACCGGATATGCTAAAGTAGGGCTGCTAGATTATGGCAAAAACAATAATCACGATTATTGTGACTGAAATTGAGATCTCGATTATTTAAGATGATTTTTCAATTTATGTAGATTTTTTGTTGTTTTTATTCAGTCATAAAACTGCTCAGGGCACAATCAGGGCAAAAATAAACAAGAAACAAGATGATCACTAAATTAACTCCTGATTCCCAGTATAAAAAGACCAATATACTTATAGCAAATGACCCAAGGGCTATAGACCTTGGTTTAACTCATTTAAGTCTAACCAGTACAGACCCAAATACCAATATCTTGCTAATACTGACAGCAAGAATTATACAGTGGCATTTATAACAAATACATGCAAATTGATGTTCACTAAATTTTGCATAACATTTATTTAGTCATGTCAAGGTGCTGTAGGAGAGTGCACTAGCACCGTGTCCTCAGAGAGATTAGTTATTATTTATCAGCGTGAGGAACTTATTTCTACCTTATTTATAAACTATTTATTTACAGGCCCATCAGTTAATGTAATAATTGTCCCAAACACAGCTGCACCCCCCACCCCCCCACCCGGTCTCACAGCAATCAGGGGCAAGCTGCACGTGTGTTTAGCATGCTGCACGCGCACATTTAGCCGTTTTTATCGGCTCAGGAGTCCGCAGGTGCGGTGTGTGTGTCACTCACTCTGGTTACTCCAACATGGAGCCGGCTCTGAGAGCCGTTTCTTTAGCGACCGACACATCACTACATCATTCCCTTTCCTAATGTCCTGAAGAACGGTCCGGAGCGCAGGCGGAGTGTTTAGCTAACCTGCAGGAAATGTCGATGACAGTTATCCAGAAAGTAGCTAAGGGTTACCAGAGATGTTTGAGGTGTTCGCTAGGTACTTTTAAGATTTAAAAAATCAAGAAGGGGGTCTGAGAAGCTGCTAGAAATAGCGTCAAAGTCGCCAAGTTGGCAACACTGTGGAGGAGCGCTTCATTTGCAACTCAGGGCAGTGCAAGTGGGAGGAGCAAATAATCAGCTTGTTTTATTTTTATAATCGTTCAAAACATTTCATTCGGAATATATTTCTATGTCGATGTTCAGAATACGACATCTGATATTCTGAAAAAATAATACCTAATTTGGAAAAAATAATACCTCTGAGACCAAATTTAACACTTTTAATGGCCTTAAATTTGACTATTTTTATTTATCACTTTTTAATACTTTTTAAAACCCCGCGGACACCCTGTATAGGTTCTAACGGAACCAGGTTTTAAAGGAACCGACAAATAGGACACGCTCGCGACAACTTTTTTTGGGCCAAGCATTGTATCCGATTTAAATGTATTCTCCTTTTAAGTATCCTTCTTTGAGCATGGAGCAGTTGGCACCTCTGTATGATTACACACACACACACACACATGTGCAGGGATCTTAACATCGCCAGTACCTTCATGTATGCCTCCAAAGGCATGAAGTTTGGGTCGCACCCTCTTCTGAACCGTGTTGAGCAGCTCCACACAGCCGACCCGCTGCAGCTCTTTAGGTACCCAGTCTCTGAAGCCTGTACACACATCCACAGGAAACATTTTACAGACAGCTCTCTCCATTTTCTAAGGCATCTCCATCACTTTGGACCGGTCCTGAACCCGTGATGGACACATCTAACAAACAACCAGAGCTAAATCTGAATGTGGCCACAGGCTCTGACCTGTGTCGGTTTCAGGTTTACCATCTTATTTTAGAGATAATTCTGTTAACTCAAAGTGTTTCTGTAGAAGTTATAAATAATCACAATCTTGCTTCCTGATGCACCACGGGTGACTGTTCAGCCAAATATTTACAGAGGAATTATTATCAGAGCCTAGCAGGTCTCCTGTTCCCGTTTGGATGGATTTAATGCCTTTTTTTAACTTCAGTTCAAACTCATAAAACTCAACCTTGACAGAGAAAACATGCTGACATGCCAGCCTTTTAATTTAAACTCAACATTCTGCCAGATGAATCCGTGTCTTCATATGTCTACCTCACTTGTGCAGCCCCCAGTCCACCATCATCAGTGCAAGATCTTGGTGAAACATTAACCCCCCCCCCAATTGTCTGTCTCCCTATATTTGGAGCTGGCACCTCCCTCCAGCGCAGCCGTTCTCTTGTACGGTCCCTCTCTAGTCGTTTGCAGCGTCTGTCACACCGTGGTGAAATCGAGTTTCCATGCAATCAAACAGCCACAGCGGCTGCTGCAGTAGCAGCAGCGCCTCTCCGTAGGCGAAAGGGAAGGAAATCTCTCAATAAAGCCAGATGGAGAACACGAAGGAGAAGGGAAAAAAACAACAACTGGGATCCAAACAGCTAGAAGGAAAATCTAATCATTTTGCAGTGAAAAAACATATGCACCCCCCACCCTTAAAGCAAACAAAAATATTGAATTATGAAGTATGTTTGAGTTCTGGCTGCACACACAACCGACTTTAGATGCAAAACAGAGTCGACACAGAGGCTGAAGACACACACATTCACAGCTCTGCCTCCAGACGCCTCATCCAGACTTTGAATAATGAGGCACAGCTTCATTATATTTGGCAACAAGGGGGCTGTGATTGGTTAATTGGACTCACCGAGCGGAGGTCCGTGGGTCATCAGGATGTCGATGCCCTCGGGGACAAGGTTCCATTTATCCAGCAGAGACTGACCCCGAGGCAGGTTGAACCCCCAGCCGTTAAACCACGGAGTCCTGCAGAGACGGAGGAGAGGGGGTCACATTAGCATCACTCACTCCGCCATTATTACAACATTCATCAACAATCATGTCCAAAAGCAATAAACATCACCCATTTTTTATCCTTCTTTTCAACATTTCACCATAAATAACATTTCATATTCACATAATTTGCACCCTGTGTCCCTTTTCATCAAATTACCTTCATGAATCATGTGAAGATGAACACTTTATGTCGCTAGGGTCTGCATCTGCACACGTTTCTATTTAAATGAGTTCTATCTTTACCATTAAAGGGAAAAACAAGCACATATACAATGATGCTGTGGGACATTGATCAAAAACAAACACACAGATGCTAAATGGTTCTTTACCAGTGTGGAAATGGGAGCAAAATATCAACATTTCTATAAAGAACATGTTTCAGCTGTTGCTGGTAACATTGGGAGTGCTTTAATGTGGTCTCTGTGGAGTCCTTCTGAGCGGTCAGCATCTTACCTACGGCAGACAGCAGTCAGGGTGATCTTAGTTTAGACAATCAGAGAGAAACTCACTTCTCTCTGCAGTTTTTAAAGTTTCAGTTGCTTTAGATTGCAGAAAGTTTGCTCAAAGAGTTTTAACACTTAAAGGTTTTTCTTTTAAAGTGGTTTCAGCGACTCTTGAAGCAGAAACTAGACCAAGTGTACACTGGTCAGCCCTATGTAGCCCTCTGCGGACCAGAAACTGCACTTAGTTTTGTGGCTCAGGTAGATGCACTAGGCTGAGGCCTTTACCTACTTTAAGGAAATAGCCATTTACTGAGATGGTAGCTAATATAAAGGCTAACAGTTAGCCAACCATCAAAAAACTAAAGAAGCAGACGTAAATAATTTAACTAGACGTCATGGTGGAGCCTGGAAGTGAAAGAATGTAATGTTTTTGAGAGTAATGTCTTTGGAGGCGAAGCAAATCACTAAAACCAGAGTAAACATTGGTGCGACCTACACCCATCTGAGGGAGCTGAAGGAAACCACAAACTGATGGTGACCTAGCTTTGTTGCTACTGGACTTGTATCTTTTTCTGTCCAACAGTGTGAATCTTTTAACTTCGATTTATTCAGTATCGCTTGGCTTGTTTTAGAGTTAGCTTGTTGTTAGCACTACAGGCTGCAGCGGAGTTGCTTACAATAGTTTTAATTCCACTTTCAACCACTGGGAGGGAGATACTGGGAAACGTAATTAATGTTTCTTTAAATGAGTTCTGCTTTGAGCAGTTCTAAGAGAGTTCTTACCTGATTCTCCAGTCTGTCTACAGCCCGTTAAACACTACAAACTCAGACTGCAAATAACTTTAATGAGTCAGAAACCTTTTATTTAACGTGAAACCAGGAATGGTACCGATATGTTTTCTCATCATAAATTAAACACACAGGTGTATACAGGAGAACTGGTTGTAATATATAAAAACACAAGATGGTTGGGCGATCTTTCAGCACATGCTAACGAATCAGATTGGTCATCCATGAACTGTGAAGGCCTGGTTCAATCCGACGGAACTAGTGCTTTTACATTCCAGCAGTCACACATTCATTTTAGCAGCTAAAACTGAACCACTGACTGCACAGAACTGGTAGAAAGGAAGAAAAGTGAATTTCTAAACAGCGGGGAGCCACATCATGTGTCAGCCGCTTCTCCCTCTGCTACCCGTCTAAAGATTGACTGACAGCAGCCGGGCCACCTCCAGCAGCCTGGATGGGAGTCTGCATCTCTGGGGTGACAAGCAGCTTCTCAGCCTCCTCCGGCACACACAAAGAAAGCCTCGGTCTGGCTGAGTGGGGATGAGGAAAGGATAGATAAGAGTCAGAGGGTTTAAACAGATGAGGAAATAAAGTGTGGGGGTTGGATGTAGGAGCAGAAGTCGTCAAAACCAACGGGAGGAAAAGAAATTGAGAGGAGGCTAGCTGAGGAATTGAGCTTTCATTTGTCACAACAGTAGTAATGGCTGACAAGTGAGGAAAAAAAGACGGATTATCATCACGTAATACCTCAGTCAGTATACAAGTCAACCGACATCAACAAACACAGGTTAAAATTAGATGTTAACTTGAGGCTTGCAGCTAAGAGGGGCCGAGCCGCTGATGAAAAGACTTGAGCTCCATCATGTGCAGAGTTCAGAGCAGCTCCCGGTCACTTAGCGATGGCACCACGGATGGTATCTGACCGAAGGGAAATCAGGGCTCCACAAACATCGATAGGCTGTGTTACAGTGAAGGATGGACGCTCCAGCACTAATCAATACCGAGTGTTCCAGAGGAGAGAGCCAAGCGGGACCGACCAGAGGCAGAGCGGGCCCCAGATGTGTAAAACATGAGACCACAACCCCCTCCGGTTCATTTCTAAAACACAACCAACAACCTAAAATATCACCACAACAATGAAAAACACCCATCATTCAGAGTGCTGAGACAAACGGGTATTATAATGCAGCACAGGCACCTGCTCCGAGTGTTAAATGTTTGTGCACTCTGACTGAAAGGCGGCGGCGGACCTGAAGCTCACTCTTTGATTTGCTCGCTCAGTCGTTGCCTTGTTCTCTCGCTCAGTGGAGAGCTGAGAAATGAGGTTAAAAATGAAATGTGAGGAGCGCGCAGGGGAGCGAAGGCCACAGACTGAACTGATTAATTAGAACTAATCACACAAATCGCAGCTAATGGAAGTCTAATGGATTATTGAGAAGGCTCGCCACTTTTCAGATGGAAATAGCGCTGCTGCTGTGGAGGAACTCAGCAAACAGTGAATCAGAGCAGAGCTGGCCCAGTCAGCTGGATGCACACAGAAAGCAGCAGCAGGGTATTCATCTAGCTCTGGGTTTGACTAATAGCCACAAGGCCAAACTTTGAAAAATGACCAAATGCAATTGTGCCCCCCTTCGAATTCTGAAAAATAAATCACGCTTTCTTGCAGCAAAAAATAAATAAACAGCTGGAGCCTTAATTTTGCTTGGTGTTTCACAGGTTTCCCCCCACATAAACACATTCATCTGGGAGATGAAACATAACCCCCGACATGAGCCGTGGATCCGGAGCCGACCAAAGGTCCTGACTGAATGCAGAGCGGGGAGCAACAGCTCCATGCCACAATGGCCCCATTGTTGGCTGCCTGCCTATGAAATATACCCTCCATGTGAGCGCATTTGTTAACCTCCGCCTAGATTAATGACATCCCGGTCGCATAAAGGAGCGAGCGTTTTCCTGTGTGGCTGTGACAAAGGTGCCGAGTGTGAGCAGCACCGGCGTGTAGAACACGGCGTTCTGCTGCCAGAGAGGACTAACGTGTGCAGAGATCAGACAACACTCAGAGCCCAGTCTTGCCTTGACACTTGCCATCTGGAGAGCGTCACCGTAGCAACAGAGTAGCGACGTCTGGAGGCTAGCTCAGAGGGAAGCGAAACGCTGTCACAGACATAGAAGCAGAAGTGGGAGAAGCAGAAAAGGTGGAAGGAGGTGCTGACGTAGGAAAAGAAAGGGAGGAGTGGGGTTTTAAAGTCAAAAGCAGATTCTAACTTTCAGGTGTTTGTGTGATGCAGAACAGGAGGCGAGTGAATCAAATGGACTAACAAGGAAAATCACAAGACACGTCATGGAACGTCCTCTTTCAATTAAAACCTCTGCACCTCAATACAGCAGCCAAAAAAAAAAAAAAACAAGGATCAGAGCATCAAAGGACAAAAACCTGGTAACCTTGGTAACAGGAACGTTTAACGATCGTCTATCCTGTAGGAATCAAACGGGTTAAAATTCTCTAGTTGTGGCCAGCAGCAGCAGAGGTAAAGCAGACACAAGCCATTTAGCCCTTGTGTGCAGAACGTCAATATTCAATTAGGCCGTTGGACATCATTAGGACGGTGACGCAGGGTCTCTCCGGGCGTGACACCACTTTTAACCCCTCAGCTCCCTCGAGCGGCATGCTCTGAGTCCCTGGATGGGCTACAGGACAACCCTCTAACAGCACACACACACACACTGCATCATTCTCATTACACCTTTTAAATCACACTCCTTCCTCATTTAACAGATCATTTTAACCATTTTCTTAACACCTCATTGGATTTGGCCTTCTAAACGCAGAAGCTTGGAGGCATCTTTCCTCACAAACCCTTTAAAGTTTTCACAAGCACTCAAGATCACGCTGACTGATAGTGGAAACTGGGGCTGCAGGGTATTGGGGGAAAAAATCCCATTGCAGTTTTTATAACCCACAGTGACGTATATTGCAATATTAAAAATACAGGCAATCTTAACAGATGACCAGAATAGCATTTTAGGTTTTGCTGCACTCCCGACATGTTGACAAGGTCTCACATACCGCGGGTGACTAATGACGTTATACAATCATTACTGTACACACCGTAAACGCTTTGGTCAAACCGCTCAGAAATGCAAAGTAACGCCCAACTCAGCAGGCGGGTCACGGTTAACCGAGTATTAACTGTTTCATGGCTTCAATAACCGGTTAAACTACTCTGGGAAAACGGGCATCCCTATAAGTAACCTTTTTATTTTCATGGGGGCAATGGCGGTGCTGTTGCCAAATTTACAGGAAGCGGTGTCCTGACCAATCACAAGCTTGCGTTCTGCGTCACTTTTGACTTATGTTTAAAACGTCGGGCATGTCACAATCTTCCTCTGTGAGCCCGTCAGAGCGCTTGTGTCAACGCACAATGGTGTTGCATGGCTCCATACCGACGCAAACGGAAAGGTACAAACTAGGCCTACACTACAATGTTGGTAACACTGTGCTGGTCTAGAGGAAACAATTTTCTAAATCTGTTCAGTTTATTTAGCATGTTAGGTTGAATTCTGGTCAAATGTCAGCTTGTTCTATTTAGACATTTTTTGACAACACAGATATTATATAAGATCAATAAATAGATTTAATGATGATAAAACAAACACGTCGAATCCTACTTTCCTAGTTTAACACAGTGTACAAGTGACACACACTCAGGAAATCAGCTTATTTGACTAATCCAGTAA